CCATGCCCCTCCCCCGCCATGATACACTCTCTCTCTGGAACTGCAAGCCCCAATAAATTCTTACTTTCTTAAGCTGCCTTTTATCACTGCAATAGAAACAATGATCACTACAATACTTATCTTCCTTTTATTGCTTCATGGGAGCGTTTTCACATATTAAAAAAATATATATGTATGTATGTATTTGAGTGTATATCATGTGTGTGTATGCTCTGGGAGACGAGAAGAGGGTGTCAGATTTCTTGGAGTTGGAGTTACAGGTCGTTGTGAGCCACCTGGAATGGATGCTGGGAACTGAGCTAGAGTCTTCTGGAAGAATAGCATGCAATTTTAAAAAGTCATTTATTTTTTGAGATTACATTATTTTGTGCTTTCTTTTCTTCCCTGAAGACTCTTGCACAGAACCCTGAGTGCTCTCTTTCAAACTCACGGCCTTTCTCTTCATTGTCATTGCACACATATGTTGCTCTGTCTGTACCATGTTCCTTGTATGGATGTTTTCAGGGCTACGTGGTATTGGAAAACCAATTGTGTGCTCTTCCCTGGGGAAAGCTGTTTCTCCTATTCTCATTCCTCAGCTGCCTGTAGTTCTTTGTGTAGGGTTGTGGTTTTGTGGGCTTTTCTCTGTCTACTGTGCCATATCTATTGTTACGATGTTCAGACCATGCAGAGGCAGTAGTCATGTTGGTGAGACTCTATGGGTGTTGATGAACCATCTGCAGCTCCTGAGTACATATTAAATCTGGACTGCAATTACTATATGTACTGGTTTAAAATGATTCATAGAAACTCTTCTTTCCTTCTTTCCCCTTTCTTTGTTTATAAGACAAAAACTTTGTGAACATTGCTAAGTACGTGTACACACACACACACACACACACAGACACACACACACACACACACACACACGTACTTCATGGCACTAAACAGCCACATGGCCTATCACATAAAAGTGAAACAGACTAGATGGCACACATGTTACACATTGTTATTATCTGGTTCACCTTCTTCCTTTAGGCTTCATCAGCACTTTCCTTTGCTTCCTTCCTTATATCTTTTGGAACAATTCATGTCACCAACCTAGCTGAGTTCTAGCTCAAAAGCTGTATTCTTAATTCATTATATACAACATAAATTATTCGTGTAACTTCTTTAACTTTTAATGATGGCAGGTCATTCCCTTCATCTGAAGCTTTTCTATTTCTGTCTTTGCAGCTTGCCTGGATTTTCCAACGGCTCATCCCCAGTAACCATATGAACCACCTGATGGGTCAATGATACAGAGCTGTGCATGACTGGTCATCTTGGAAGACCCCAACGTGAGACTGCAGCACAAAAGTCTGAGAGCATTGCGGCATGTGCGAGCATGTATGGACACGCCACCCTGCAAGATGTTTTAGGGGAATAGGGGAATGCTATATCAAAGTTACATTTACAGTTGGAACCGTCTGCTTTTGTTATGTCTGCTAACAAGGGGGATCTGCCAGCAAGCCTGTGAATGCCATTCCACTGTTTTGTTTTTTTAAAGAAAAATAAGTGACTCAGCATTTAAAGTTCTGGCTGCTTTTTCAGAGAACCTAAACTCATGCCACGGTATATATGCACTCATGCAAGTCCACACACACACACACACACACACACACACACACACACAGTGTAAAAATAGTATTTTAAATTTTTTCTCTTCTAGAGTTTGACAAAAGTAAAAACACAAAGTGAATTCTCTTAGGTTTTATTGATTTTTCACTTACTATAGTGTTTTGAGACTAACCCATGCTGTTGTAGGCATCATTAATTTACTTAAAATGTCTACTTATTATTTGTTCCGTGCGTGGTATGTGATGTGTGTGCACGTGTGTGAGGATACTCGTGTCTGTGTGCTCTCTTGGGGAGGTCAGAGAGGGCACTGGGTGTCCTGTACTATTAGGCACGTTCTGCCTTATGCACTTGAGTGAGGGTCTCTCACTGAACTCCTGTCTTGTCATTTTTTTTTGGCTAGGCTTCTGGCAAGCAAACTCCTGGGGCTCACCTGTTTCTGCCCCCCAGTGCTGGTGTTACAGACACATTCAGCCCTGCCTGGCTTCTCTATGTGATTGCTGGGGATTCAAACTCAGGCCCTCAGTGGTCTTACCCACTAAGCCATCACTAGCACCCAGGTTACTTTTTATTGTTAAGCAGTGCTCTTTGTTAAGTATGCAGTACAATAAGTTTATCCATGCGTTAGCTGGTGGACATTTGGGTATTTCCATTTTCCCCTGTGTATATAAAGCTCTTAATGATAGTGTAAAAGTCTTAGATGCACTGCTTGTCTCTTAGGGTGACAATTATACTTTATAGTTGTTGTATAATATTAAATTAGGTTCAGCAAGACAGTGCACAAGTGGTTTTTCATCCTAGGCAACATTGGTCTTTTTAATTTCAGCCACCACAGAGAATGTGTATAGTCCTCCCTCTTCTTTCTTTTTCAGAGACAAGTTCTTGCTTGCTATACAGATCTGATTAGCATGGTACTCATGTAGCCCAGGCTGGCTTTGAACTTACAGCAACCCTCCTGCCTTTGCCTTTTAGGGGCTGGGATTACAGGCAGGTACCATCATTATACCTGGCACACAGTGATATTTTATTGTGGTCTTGAGTTGCATTTCCCTAGCATGGGAGCCAGTTTCCAACATGGCAGCCATTGCTCTTTACTGACTTTCTGGTATTTAACTCGCCCAACCTAGTAATATATACGTATGACTTATATTACCAGTAAGCTTTTGTAAGAACGGCTACTGACTTCCTTCAGAGTACAGGTCATAAAAGACATTGCAGTTTAACAGTTGTGGAAAGAGGGAGAATTAGTATTTCCTTACCCGGGATGAGCCCCCTAATTGGTTATTCAATACCACGGATCAGCCCTGAAATCATGTACACACAAAAACACTAAATGGACTCAGCAGCTTGTATTTGTGTGTGTGTATGTGCATACATGTGTGACAATAATCATCAAAGAAAAAGAAGTCATGAATTGAGAGGGAATAAGAGGGGGAATGGGAGGAGCTGGAGGGGAGAAATGGAAAGGGAGAAAGGATGTATATTTTAATTAGAATTTAAAAATTGAGTCTACAAAGATGGCTCAGGAATTAAGAGTATTGACTCCCCCCCCACCCCAGAGGATCAGGGTTTGATTTCCAGCACTAACATGGTGACTGACAATTGTCTGTAACTCCAGTTACAGGAATTTATTTAGTTATTGATATACAGTAAGTAACAACATATACTATATTAATATATGATATATAAATATAATATTAGCATGTGTGAGGGAGTGTTGGAGGCAGTTGTGGAGGTTAAGGAATGACCTGTGGAAACTGGTTATCTTTTTCACCATATGGGTCCTGGGGAGTGAACTCATGTCTCAGGGGTTGTACCATATGGGTCCTGGGGAGTGAACTAATGTCTCAGGGGTTGTACCATATGGGTCCTGGGGAGTGAACTAATGTCTCAGGGGTTGTACCATATGGGTCCTGGGGAGTGAACTCATGTCTCAGGGTTGTGGCACATGGGTCCTGGGGAGTGAACTCATGTCTCGAGGTTGTGGCACATGGGTCCTGGGGAGTGAACTCATGTCTCAGGGGTTGTACCATATGGGTCCTGGGGAGTGAACTCATGTCTCAGGGTTGTGGCACATGGGTCCTGGGGAGTGAACTCATGTCTCAGGGTTGTGGCACATGGGTCCTGGGGAGTGAACTCATGTCTCGGGGTTGTACCACATGGGTCCTGGGGAGTGAACTCATGTCTCGGGGTTGTGGCACATGGGTCCTGGGGAGTGAACTCATGTCTCAGGGGTTGTACCATATGGGTCCTGGGGAGTGAACTCATGTCTCGGGGTTGTGGCACATGGGTCCTGGGGAGTGAACTCATGTCTCGGGGTTGTGGCACATGGGTCCTGGGGAGTGAACTCATGTCTCGGGGTTGTGGCACATGGGTCCTGGGGAGTGAACTCATGTCTCAGGGGTTGTGGCAAGGGCCTTTGCTTGCTGAACCATCTCATTGGCCCTGTGTAACAGCATTTTGTTAGTAGCCATCTCCAGACTTGGGGACCAGCAATGGCCCCCAAAGGGAGTGGCATTATTTGGAGGTGTGGCCTTACTGGAGAAAGTGTATCACTGTGGGGGGGCGGGCTTTGAGGTCTCTTTAACTATCTTTCCCTCTCACTGTGTGTGACTGTCCCCTACAAGCCAGGACACAGTACTCTCAGCTCCTGCACTACCTCTGCCCGCATGCCTCGCATCATGTTAATGGACTCTCTGAACTGCCAGGAGGCCACCCCATTTAAGGTTTTCCTTATACGAGTTACCGTGGTGTTATGGTGTCTCTCCACAACAATAAAAACCCTAGCTAAGACACCTACTAAGCGATCTCATTGGCCCTATCTAATGGTTTTTTGATAGGAGCTACCTCCACCCTTCCCTTTCTCACCTCTAATAACCACTCCCCAACTCTTTTGAATAAGGAAATTAATTTAATGGGAAAAACATGTCAGTAAAAAAGGAGTATGCTACTTTTTTTTGCGGGGGGGGGGGGGCAAAGGAAACTTATTTTTGTTTAGCAATTTTTTCTGATAATGGATTAACAAAAACCCAGACAGAACCTACACAGAGAAAGCGAAGGAACAGCCTTTTTGGATTGAGAGTAGGAAACCACAGGCTGGACTTCAGATGCAGGCAGTGTGGGGGGAGCCCAGTCCTTCCTCCAGCCAGCCACGCTTCTCCGGGCTCTCCTCCCGGCTCTTCCCGTAGATGGCAGCAGGGGTCACCGGCGTGTGCGAGGGCCTTACTTACCGCATCTCGTCCGGGCTGCGGAAAGGCGATAAGCAGGCGTCCAAGACACCGGAGACCCCAGGCTCCCCGCCTCCCCGAAATGGCTCAGCGCCAAGCACTGGCAGGTGCACGTGCGCGGTTGTTGTGGAGTGACGTCACGACACGGCCCCGGAAGTACTTACCCTAAATCCCGCCCCCAACATGGCGGCGCCCAGTTCCTTGGGGCAGCACCTGCTTCTGCTTCACCTCTAATGTTAGCCTTGGAGGAGTCAGCGGGACCATGGACGCGCCGGGCTTCACGGCTTCGCTGGTGGTGAGTGCGGGACAGGGTTGGGTGGCTGGGTGCAGGCGGCATGGGAGCCGTGGCCGCTTCTCTGCTTTGGCGCCTTCTTCCGGATTTGCGCAGTCCTCGTGTCACTTGCAGCTAGGTCTAGGAGCAAACCTGGGGGCACCAAGAAAACCTGTTTTTAAAGTCAGGCGGATCCTGCCGGGATTTCTGAGTAGACAGGAGTGCTTGACTCATTGTCTTTTTTTTTTTTTTTTTTTTAAAGGGGCGGGTGTTTGAGACAGGGTTTCTCTGTGTAGCCCTGCCTGTCCTGAAACTCACTCTGTAGACCAGGCTGGTTTTGAATGCAGAGATCCTCCTGGCTGAGCCTTCTGTGTTCTGGGATCAAAGGCGAGCGCTAATGCCTGTCTCTTTACTGTCTTCTTCACTCAAGGCAAAACAGCTTCCCTTATACACCACATTCAGTCAGAACTTGGGAATTAAAGACACAGTATTAAGGAAAACATTCATGACCCTTCCGTCCAAGACACTAACTTGTCTTTTTGCTGTATCTACACATTTAGTACATAGTAATCTGCTTATTTTGCTCCAAGTTTAGGCTTTGAAGAAGTACCGAGCACAAGTAGTTGTGGAGTCGATAGAATGTTTATTGTCTCATTCCTTTTTGAGGAGCCTGTTACAGCAGCTCTAGCAGGGGATAATAGACTCAGCAGATCCAAGACAGATTGATTGATTTGGCTTCGTTGTGGAGGAGTGTACAGGTGCAGACTCGAAACGCCTTAATTTTTAAAATGCCCCCGCAATGAGCAAAAAGAAGCTCAGGGGTGTTGTTCACAGAATTAGCTAATGTTATGGATGAAGGGGTTGGAGATACAGTGTTGAACAAGAGACACCTCCCATGAGAGTTAGTTTTTGGAGACAGTGCTGAAGTAAATGTTGGGGTAAGTGACAGAGAGGGCTGGGTTCAGGATATTATGGGAATAGGCGAAAGGGAGGGATAGCTTAGCCAGACTTAGGGGATCATAGTTTTAAGTTTAGATTCATTGAAACTTGTGTAAGCTAGGCTACTAAGATATAAAGAAATATATTACTTCAGCGAGCTCTCTCTTGTGGGTGAGGCAGCAGCAGTAGTTTTGCCAGGTAACATTGCAGTTCTCAGAAATGATATATGTGCTTTACGTGTTACTCAGTTCAGTTTTCACAAACAGCTGAAGTATTACCCCATTGTTCTAGACTGCTTTCTGTTCCGATAAAACGTGGTCCAAAATCAACTCTGGAAGGGTTTCTACTGTTTATATGCCCCATCACAGTCCGTCTTTGTAGGAAACAAAGACAGGAACTAAAACAGAGACTGGAGGAGTGCTACTGTTTACAGTCTTGTTGTCCTACTTTCTGGTACCACACAGGGCCACCTACCTAGGGGTGGAGCCATCCACAGTGGTCTGGGCCCTCCTACATTAATCAGTAATAAAATTTGCACAACAGACTTTCCCACAGGCCAACTTGAGGGAGGCATTTTCTCAAGTGAGCTTCTCTTTTCCCAAATGACTCTAGCTTGGAGCTCAGGCTCCACTCTTGGTAGTTTAGTGGTGGAGTCTGTGTTCTCAGCTGCTTCCTGATTGCTCAGATCAACAACAGTTGTGGTTTTAAAAACAGATGAGTGATGCCGGGTGGTGATGGCGCACACCTTTAATTCCAGCACTTGGGAGGCAGAGGCAGGTGGATCTCTGTGCGTTCGAGGCCAGCCTGGTCTACAAGAGCTAGTTCTGGAATAGGCCCCAAAGCTACAGAGAAACCCTGTCTCGAAAAACAAACAACAAAAGAAACAGGTGAGTGCTAGAGTTAGCAAAAGAAGAATGATTTAGAAATGAACATACAGGGGAACAAGAGGTGGCTTAGCAGTTGCGAGCACTTGCTGGGTTTGGTCCTCAGCACCCACAAGGTGACCGCAACCATCTGACATTGTAGTTCTAACAGGCAGATCTTTTGCCTTCTTCATGCCCCTGGGCACCAGGCATGAATGTTGGTGCACAGACATACATACACACACAGGCAAAACAGCCATAGACATAAATAATCAAAAAACCTAATACAATGAGCATATAGAAAAGTATATCCCTTTCATTGTTTGCTAGAGGTTCAAAGTAGGGTAAGCAGGCAGCAGTTCCAGGAAGTTGGATTTCATTCATTGTAGCTGAAGAACAGTTTTTTTCCCTCTCATTACTGTTTGAGGCTACAAAGACTGCCTCTCCTTTCTCATGTTTCCCTTTCTCTTTATGTGAGAGAGGGGCACTTGGAAAGTTTTAGTGTTTGGAAATTTGGCTGTGACTGATTTGGTAGGAAGTTTTGTTTCCACTTCCAAACCCTTAACACTCCATGCCGATCGCTGCTCTAAGGTTTTATTACACAGACAAAATCTGTGTAAAAGAATGGAGTGTCAGAGAAGAGGAAGATGTTCCATTTAATAGCTGTCCCACATTCACGAGCCAGGTTTGCTCTGGTAGAGCAGTGTTGTCCGTCCCCTCAGAGACTAGTGGTCTAGGGGGAGAGGTTAGAAACCAGGCTGTGGAGAGCTGAGTGAAGAGTGAGCAGACTTGAATTTAGAGGTTTTAATAGATGAATTTATTCACTGAGTTTAATATTTGAATGTAATCCTAATTCTTTGGTAGAGACTCCTTAGTTTTTGCATTGTTTTTAATATTGGTATGACATATTGGCATTGGTAAACTTTGAAAGATTTAAGTAACAATGCAATTTCAAAACAATAGCTCATAACTGAAAAAATAATAGCCTACTTATATTGATAACTGGTTATGTACCAGGCATTCTAAATATATGAGATCCACTCATGGTTGGGGCAGTGGCTCCGTAGTTAAAGCACCTGCAGTGTAAGTGTGAGGACCCTTGTTCAGTTCCCCTTGGAGATGCTGGCTGGTATGGTGGCTCATCTGTAATTCCAGTGTTCAGGTGGGCACAAGGCATCCCTGGAGCAAGCTGGCTAGCTAGACTAGCCTTTTGGTGATCTTTGGGTTCAACTGAGGGACGCTGCCTCAGTGAACAAAGTAGAGAGACTTATGAAGAAGACTTCTAGACTTCTGACTCAAGGTTCGATTTTCACATACCTGTACCTGCACACACACACACACACACACACACACCACTCAACACATGCAAGCACAAATACACACCACACACAAACATATGACTAAAACAGGTTCATTTAATTGTATTTTATTTTATTTTATTTTTGGTTTTTCAAGACAGGGTTTCTCTGTAGTTTTGGAGCCTGTCTTGGAACTAGCTCTGTAGACCAGTCTGGCCTCGAACTCACAGAGATCCACCTGCCTCTGCCTCCCACCACCCCATGGCTATGTTTTTCTTTTTCCTTTTTTCCTTATTTATTTATTTTTTTTAAAAAAACAACTACTGAATTGTACACTTTTTGTTTTTCGAGATAGGGTTTCTCTGTATAGTCCTGGCTGTCTTGGAATTCACTTTGTAGACCAGGCTGGCCGCAAACTCTGAGATGCACCTGTCTCTGCCCCCCAAGTCCTGGGATTAAACACGCCTGGCTTGTACGGTACACTTTATTTATTTATTTTTGCAGCATTGGAGGTGCTCATATGTGCCGGGCAAGCATGCTACTACCTGTGACTGTTTCCCCCTCATTTTATTTCTCCTGTCCACTCTTTCCTTCTTTTTCTCCCCCAACTTCTTTTGTGGGTCAGGGTAGAACTCAAGTCTTCCTATATGCTAGACAGTTGCCATAAATCTAGCTACCGGACCTATTTGTATTTAACTTTCATTTAATATTATTTATTTCTCAAAACTCTTAAAGCATACTCTCCTCCATTTTGTACATGAAGAAATAGAAATGAAATTGCCCTTAAGGAGAGGCCCTCCCACGAAGTTGGGCTGGAGCTAGCTCTGTCTGATAACAAACCAATAACAAACCTGTGTTCCTATGCAATAACTTAATCTGAGAGAATTTCTGAAAGAAATGGAAGAATAGTCAAGCCTGGTTCTATGGCTACCTTTGCATTCTTAAGAGCGGCCACATTAAACAGATTGAACGCCGCTGTCCTGTCAGGAGGGGCTGGGGAGTGGAAGGTTTCTGGAGAAGTGTCCCAGAATACAGGCCCCAGTGTGACTGGAAATGCTAAGAAATGCCACCATCTTACAATTGTGTATGTGGGGACGCTTTGCCGTGTCAGAGGTGCTGGCTTAGCTGTCTAGCAAGCTGAAGGTCACTGACCTGGCTTGCACTCTGAAGAATCTTTTGTTATCACACATTATGGTTAGTACAAAGGAAAACAGGAATACAGTTTGAGAGGGGCAGAGGAGGTAGCTTTTCTCTCTAATTGGGAGGTTGGCCTTGGCTTTGTGAGGAATGCAGCATTTGGTTGCTGCCAAATGAGTAGATAGACAGGAGTTTTGGCAGGGATATGTGTGTCTGTCAGGTGAAAAGGGGAGAAGAGAGTGAGGAACAGTGGGAAAACTGCTCTTCTGGGAATAAGTTGGATAAGAACAGTATTTCAGACTGAGAGAGAAACCCAAGCTGAAACAGAGATAGGAGAAAGTTCTGGACACGTTTGGGAACCATAGTTATTGGAGTGGATGCACAGATTGCTGGTCCAGGTTCTGTGGGTGTGTACAGGCTGTTCCAGGCTCTGGGACTGCACAGGTTGCTGGGCAGGCTCTGTGGGTGTGTACAGGCTGTTCCAGGCTCTGGGAGTGCACAGATTGCTGGTCCAGGCTCTGGGAGTGCACAGATTGCTGGTCCAGGCTCTGGGAGTGCACAGGTTGCTGGTCCAGGCTCTGGGAGTGCACAGATTGCTGGTCCAGGCTCTGGGAGTGCACAGGTTGCTGGTCCAGGCTCTGGGAGTGCATAGGCTGCTGGTCCAGGGTCTAGGAGTGCACAGGTTGCTGGTCCAGGCTCTGGGAGTGCACAGGCTGCTGGTCCAGGCTCTGGGAGTGCACAGGCTGCTGGTCCTGGGTCTGGGAGTGCACAGGTTGCTGGTCCAGGC